GGGGTCTCAGGGTGCCCCCGTGCCCCCTCCCCAGCCATGTCGGAGCAGCCCCAGGGAGAGTTGGGGGGTCTCAGGGGGTCTCAGGGTGGTTTGGGGGGTCTCAGGGTGGTTCAGGGGTCTCAGGGGTCTCAGGGTGCCCCCGTGCCCCCTCCCCAGCCATGTCGGAGCAGCCCCCCGTGGACACGGCCACGGCCACCGAGCAGGCCAAGCTCCTGGTCAAGTCCGGGGCCATCAGCGCCATCAAGGCCGAGAACAAAAACTCGGGGTTCAAACGCTCGCGGACCCTCGAGGGGAAACTCAAGGTGGGGGGACAGGGGTGGGGGGCACCCCGGGACCCCTGGGGACCCCCTGGGACCACCAGGAACCCCCTGGGGACCACTGGGGACCATCAGGACCCCCTGGGACCACCTGGGATCACCTGGGGACCCTCTGGGATCACCTGGGATCACCTGGGATCACCTGGGATCACCTGGGAACCCCTGGGATCACCTGGGAACCCCTGGGATCACCTGGGGACCCCCTGGGATCACCTGGGATCACCTGGGGACCCCTGGGGACCCCCTGGGACCACCAGGAACCACCTGGGATCACCTGGGGACCCTCTGGGATCACCTGGGGACCCCCTGGGATCACCTGGGACCCCCTGAGATCACCTGGGATCACCTGGGGACCCTCTGGGATCACCTGGGATCACCTGGGATCAGCTGGGGACCATCAGGACCCCCTGGGATCACCTGGGAACCCCTGGGATCACCTGGGAACCCCTGGGATCACCTGGGGACCCCCTGGGATCACCTGGGATCACCTGGGGACCCCTGGGGACCCCCTGGGACCACCAGGAACCCCCTGGGGACCACTGGGGACCATCAGGACCCCCTGGGGCCACCTGGGATCACCTGGGGACCCCCTGGGATCACCTGGGACCCCCTGAGATCACCTGGGATCACCTGGGGACCCTCTGGGATCACCTGGGGACCCCCTGGGATCACCTAGGGACCCTCTGGGATCACCTGGGGACCCCCTGGGATCACCTAGGGACCCTCTGGGATCACCTAGGGACCCCCTGGGATCACCTAGGGACCCCCTGGGATCACCTAGGGACCCTCTGGGATCACCTGGGATCACCTGGGGACCCCTTGGGATCACCTGGGAACCCCTGGGATCACCTGGGATCAGCTGGGATCACCTGGGATCACCTGGGGACCCCTTGGGATCACCTGGGGACCCCTTGGGATCACCTGGGATCACCTGGGATCACCTGGGAACCCCTGGGACCCCCTGGGACCACCAGGAACCCCCCGGGAACCCCTGGAGACCCCACAGGGTCCCCCCCAAAGCCCCTCAGGATCATTGGGATCCCCCCCAGACCCTCTTGGGACCTTTTCAGATCCCCCTTGGACCCCCCAAACCCCCCCGGGACCCCCCAAACCCCCCTGGGACCCTTCAAACCCCCCCTGGGACCCTCCAAACCCCCCTGGGACCCCCCCAAACCCCCCTGGGACCTTTTCAAATCCCCCTGGGACCCCCCAAACCCCCCCTGGGACCCCCCCAAACCCCCCTGGGACCCTTCAAATCCCTCCTGGGACCCCCAAACCCCCCAGGACCCCCCCAAACCCCCCCAGGACCCCCCC